GTTTGTAAAAGGAAGCCAAGGTGTGATGCAACACTTTCTAAAGCCACTGTTTAAAGCTGAGATCGGCACCATTTTAAGTGTGCTGTGCAGCTAGAGGGTTGATGTGGTTTTAAAGTGAGAAGATACAGCAGCTGAATAAAGAGCAAAAATATCTTTAAAGCCAACCACTAATAAGCGCACTGACCAGTAATGTGATTAGTAAATGCTAGTGCTTTATAAACTGATGCTGTCACTCCTCCTACCCTACTTAGATTTTTTCGTGCTTACATTAAAACAATACTATGTTTTCCCCATACTTGGAAAGTTCCCTTTAAATCAATTCCTCTAAGTTTTTGCCTTCCCCTTTCATTTCACACTGAGTGCCTGATGGTGGTTGTTATCTCTCCCCCACAGCCTTCAACCATTTCGGCTCATAGGATGCATAACATCTCTGTGGCTGAATGCCAGCTCTGGTATATTAAAGCCACACAGATAAGCTAACAGTGGTTTGTGTTGTTGTCTCACTTCGGCTTATTGTCTTCCTTAAATCTTGAGCCAATTAATCTGTCCAAGGACGAGCGAAGGATCATGAGCGAGACAGGCAGAAAAACAGCCGTGGATGATGGGTGGGTGGGAGCTGAAATACTTGGAAGTAAGAGCAGATGCACCTTGTAAGCGATGTGAAACTACGTAATGACGGGAGAGCAAAACCAGGCGCATCGGAGAGGTAATTAAGAGTCTTGGTGATTGTGGCTGGAACAGTCATGGCATGTTGGGTTCACAGGTGCTCAAATCCTGCTGTCTTCCAAAGGGAGGTGAACGCTCAGTTTGTCTGGGATAAAAACAAACAGACCAGCCAGTAATTTTGGAATCTTGTCAGTATTTTACCAAGGGAAAAAATAGATGATTTGTAAAATACAAAATCCTTTTTAATTTTTTTTTTTAAAAGCAGTTACTGTGCTGATGTAAACAGGTTTGCTTGCGTCTAAGCCATAGGCTGTTGCATTTTGGATTCTTCATCTTGGAAGGTTAAAAGATAAGTCTACAGAATATTTTCTGTTCATAGCTGAGAAACCACTGTAATCCTAACCTTGGCTTTGCCATGTAGCTTGCTGAGAGTGCATGTTAAATAAAGAGAACCATTAGGATTAGGCCTGAAATTCACTCTGATTCAGGGAGCCGCTACAAGGACCACAAGCTATTTAATGCCTCCTTTGAAGGTCTCAGTACTGATGAAGTGATACTTAAACGATCTTTTCCTTTTCTCTCTTTTCCTTTGTTTTGTTTCTGTTTTTGGAGCAAGCTTTGAGCTTAAATTGAGCTGGCAACTTCCTTTTCAGACCTCAGCGGCTGACATCATTTCTACAGCAGTAATCAACAACAGGAAGAAAACATCTGGGCTTGGAAGCACGAAGAGATCAAGGCTGTAGTGGTCTAGAGAATAAAGGGGTGACAACAGTCTATGTTGCAACAGTTTGTCTTGACTGTGTCCTGCAGACGTGAGGCCACTCCAGCGGCTGCAGGAATTGAACATTCCTGGTTTCCGAGATGAAGGAACGAAAGATGGGACAGTAAGCTGTCGGGTTCCCTAGAGAGAAGTGGTTCAGTGAGGTCAGGACAACACACTGCTTTTCACATGGGAAGCCTCCAGGGTAATCTCCACGGCAGGGTTTGCTGCGTGCTCTGGTGGGTCAGAAGACCTTGTGTCCGTGGTTCTGCAGCAGATCATACCCAAGGGTCATCTTGGGAACCTAGGGCTGTGGGAATGCAGCGGATGGAGCTTTCATCAGCTGCTTTGTACTGCTCTGAAGCACAGGGACCTTAAAGAAGAAGCTTTTTGTTTTACTCTGAGCTGTGCCTGAGGACTAGAAGAACTTCCTCTGAGCTGCATGTGGGCGATTCCTATCCATACCGATAGGCAGAAGTAGTTGTAATGCTCCATTCTTTTAACAGCAGGAAAAGAATCAATCTTGACTCTTCTCCTTTAAAAGGTCTAGGCTCATTCTTACTTATTTTGGCCCCCCAAAACTCCAACCCTAGCATGTAGGGATGTAGGCCGTGAACTTGCAATGTAGTTGGTGCCTTCCATTGTAACAAGGGATGGTAAAACGGAGGAGATATTTGCATTTGTGTCTGAACTATCTCTAGACTAGCACTTAGGGTTTCATCCACCTTCCTCATGTCTTACGTGCAGCATCTACTGCTTCTGCCACCTTGCCTGCGGCAGCACAGCTTCCTTCCTGCTCCAGGATGCCGTGTGTCGGGCATCCCATGGTATGCTCTACCATGTTGCTTCTTGGCTGAGTCTCGTTGGACTAGTTAAATCACAGGGTTTTGAAGGCTGTTGGCTTACTTTGCACATTCAGGCTGCCTTCGTGCTGACTCCTTCCACGTGAATGTAACAAAGTGGTTGATCAGTAATATTTGCCTGGCAGAGAGCTGCTATGGAAACAAACTGTATTCTGTTTTGATGGGGATGATGGGTGATTTGGCTATCGGTGAGCTCAAGGGAGCTGCTATGAGATGCGTCGGCAGCACAGCTTCCATATGAGATATCCCTAATCCCCAGAGCTGACTTTCATGCACATATGCACCACTACCTCCATCCCTTATCCTTATTGCAACCAGCTGTGGTTTGACTTTGTCAAAGATCTGATAGAGCTCCCTTACCCCCTCTCCTACTCCCTCCACAAACTCCCATTAGTCATACTTGGGCAGTGTATGAAATAAGATGGTGATAAAGCTCTGATCTGAGACACCAGAATCATTCCTAGGGGCTCCGTGCTGGGCTGTGAAGACTCCACTGTGTTAACCCCTTGGTGCCTCCAGGAAGAATTTCTTAATGCCCATACGCCATGTATCATCTCAGGGTTGACAGAGCTCTTAGGGCGCCTTTCATCTAAGTAGAGGTGGATTTATTACTGTGGTGTGTTTAGAGATTAAATGGGCTTTTTTGGCTTTTCAATTAGTCAGTGGGCTGAGGAAGACAGCTCTTGTGTTAAGGCACTGGCCATTTGTGAAAACTCGGCTCTTCTCTCTATTCCATTGGTAATGCAGAGAGAATGTTATTTTTCTCCTTGTTGTTCATACTACTTAAGCTAAAGATTAACTTTGGCAGAGTGACAAGAGGCTATGTACTGGCCAAGAAACAATTCAGTCTGCAAGTTAGTGGAAGGTTTCTGACCACTGGGGAGGAGGACCTCGTGGAACAGATATTGGATTATTTTTTTTAAAAACAGGACAGTTGATCAGCTGGTTAAATTTGGGTTGCTTTTCCCAAGGGTGGTGAAAAGCACATCCTTGATCTGATGCCAGCCACCAGGCACATTTCAGAGCTTTCACTCATAACGTAGATTTCTCTAGTGGGCAGGACACTGCTGTCTGAGCAGACGAAGGCCACCAGCCACTCCTGAACCCCTAAGCCACTGCTGTACTGCCGATGTATCAGCAAAGAACTGTACATCACATCCTTCCCTTTGCAGGCTAGTGTGATACTTCGAGGGACAAATACAAGCCTTTTGGAAAAGCACAAGCATTTGAACTGCCGCTTTGCTATCCATCACGTAGCCAAAAGGGAGAGAGGGTGGGCAGAGCTTTGAGGAAAGGATGGTTGTTTTGGGTAATCCTCTCAGCTTTCTACAGTGTGTGCACATCTCAAACATTAGAGATGTCATTACCAGCTCGGGTGGCTGAAGCTCGTGGGTCATTCAGGAGAGCAGTACTGCTTTTGCAGCGGGTCGAGAGCTCCCGGTGTAAATCCAGTTCTTAAGGCAGTGCAAAACCAGTAAATCTAGGCTGACACATCTGCATGGGGGCGAAGCAAAGCTTTGTACTTCAGTGAGAGCAAGTAGGGCCCAAGGACTTTATCTCTTATCCCAGTTGTGATTTAGAGCTAACTGCTGAGCTGATTGCAGCCCAGATACTCACCAGTAAAGTTAAAAATAAACTGCTTGAATTTCTGTGCTGATAATTGAAGCAACTTTTTATTTTTTCATGTGATTTGATGTAAAATCAAGACAGGGCTCTCTCCTCCTCCTCAACAGTGCCTGCCCAGTTTGTGACCCCTGAAGTCCCGCAGGCTTTTCCTACTCTCTCAGCAGCAGTTCAAGTTCTGAGATGCTGGCTTGCTTCTTTTATTTCAGTGTCCAGTGAAGATCTTAGAGATCCCCTGTGTTCAAATAAAAATTTGAATGCTATTCAGATTACTGGGAGGAACACTAAACTTTCAGATCCAAATCTCTTTTGTTACCCTTTGAGGCTGTTCTGCATCTGTAGCACTGGTGGAGTATCCTGTAGCTGCCTATGAACCCGGTTGCTGCTGGACCTAATGTGTTAGGCTAGAACGAGGATCAGACTGAGCAGATGCCAGAGGCAAGCAGGACCATCTTGTTGTCAGCAGGTGTCTCTCCAGCCATGACAGGCTGTTGGTCCTGCTTCTTCCAGTCCTCACGCGTACACTGTCTCTGGAAGGTGCCCTAATCTGGGATGTGTAGCACAAAGCAGCCCTGATCCATGTGTGGAGTCCTTGGTCGTCACTGTGTACGTGCCAGAAGCAATACATCTTTGCACTCTTTGGACACCTTTTCTAGCATGTCCAGAGGCACAAAGTCACTGCTTGAACATGAGGTGCTGAGTACTGAAAGTTGCTGACTGATGCTCACAGGGGATCTTGCCTGTGTCATTGTTTATTTGTCACCAAACAGGGGAGCGGTGTTTATAGAGCTCTCTGCAGTGGTTTGTGTTTGCTGCCCTAAGAATTTCATTTGCTCCATTCATGAACAATTGCAGTAAACAAGCTGTAGTAATTGGACTATTTCCTTCGGCTTTGGCTCCGTAATCAGCTTCCTGGCTGCATTCTCAGATGTGGGGCTTTAGAAACCAGGTCTTTCAAACTCAAATATTTTAAGGGGAAGGGGATGTCTTGTTTTTGCAGCAGCCTCTGCAAAGCATGCTTTTTATCTTGGACATCCAGGAAAGCTACTGCACCAGCCATTTACCGATACTTTCATTGTCTTTCCCAGTTGATCATGTGGTTCCTGAGCCAGGGACCAGTTTGCTGACTGCGTTTGACCAGTGGCGAGAATGGGCAGACAGCAAATCCTGCTGTGACTACTCTCTGCATGTGGATATCACCGAGTGGCATAAAGGTGTCCAGGAGGAGATGGAAGCCCTGGTTAAAGATCATGGTAAGTTCAGTTACTGAAAGCTCAGAGGAGCCTTTTCCCTCTATTTTTTAGGACTGGCTCACCTGTTCTTTAGGACTGGCTCCGGTAAAATACTTTATTCTTACGTCTCAATAAAGCTGTTCTGGGCCCTGACATTAACTTGCCCCATTCTGGCTTCTTGTGGAGGTTTGGGCAGTCACTGTTGTAGAGGGCTCAGGGGGATGGTACACACTGGTGTTGCTGCAATGTGTTAGGTGGGTGAGCGTTGATTTTGAAGAGGTGAATCTCTTGCTGCGGCCATGCAGAGGAGCACCTTTGTTCCATGAAGGTCCTTTGATTTTCCTTAGTGCAGGTAGGTGATAGGTTCAGCCATTAAACTGTTGTAAACAAGGGAAAAATCAGGCCCAGAAGGAACAATCCAGCACTGCTTGCTAAAGGTGGAGAAGAGCTGAATAAAATGACCTCATAGGTTTTTCCCCTCTTTAATTTCCTTGACGTTTCATCCTTAGGCTAGAGTAATTTTCCATCCTGTTTGTAGTTTAAAAAAACAACCTTTTACATCCTAATGAGTGCTTTCCCACACATGCTGGGTAAGAGCTTTTGCTGGTTCAGAAGGCAGGAGAGGGAAAGCAAACTTAGGAGCACTCCCTGTGTCTTGGTCAATATGAACAGAGTGGAGGAGGGCATGCTTACGGACCCAGATTCCCCATCGCTCTCGCAGGAGGGAGTGGGGGATCGGGCAGCCAGGCCCAGTCTCTGCTTTTGCGTGTGATGCATTTTGCTTATTTTTTTACTCAGCCTCCTACAGTGCTGAATCCACAGAATTATTCTTATTTCAGTGTTAAGTGGAAGCCTAGGGGTTTAGCTGTCCCCACGGCTGGAGCACAGGCTCCTCCGTTCTCATCAGTTGTGTTAATAGAAGCCACATGGCTGAGGAGATCCTGGCTCTACACTGTGATCTGTCGAGAGTGCGTGTGCCTGTGTGCACGCACATGTGTGTACACATTTCACAGCAGATTAAAGTAATTTATTTGTCTACCCATCATTACTGCTTGCGGGGGGGCTGATTGAGGGCGACATCTTCTCTCTATGAGGAACGGTGTGTTTCGTAGCTTTGTCTGTGCCTTCAATTTGTATGTCAAAGGTAATTCCTTTGCTCTCTTTCTACCAGGTGTGAACTCCTTCTTGGTTTACATGGCTTTCAAAGATCGCTTTCAGCTAACTGATTCTCAGGTAGGAAGGCTTAATGTTCACATGCTTCTGTCACTGCAAGGTGTGCATTAGTCTCTTACAGGGGTTTAATTTCAAGACACTTGGATCTGATATTCTCTTTTGGTTTCAATCTTTGTATGCATAACAGTACCCAAGATCTGCGACAGTACCCAGAGCTCTGGTTTGAAGATTATTTTTTTAAATAAAAAAACCCAACAACAAACCCTGAAAGACTTGGCTGGGGCAAGCAATGGCAAAACCCTCATTTTGAGAGATCTAAGGTTTTATTCCAGCTCCTTTGGTGTGGAAGTAGCGGCAGTTTTATAAATTGCTGCTTTATGCCTAGGCGCAGAGCAGGACAGTGAGATCTCTGGCATAACTATGTGTTTATAAGCTGAAAGTGATCCTAGTCCAGAAGTGGGTTTCTGGCTTTAGCATTGGAATAGCTGGGACCTTAAAAAGGAATTGCCCTCCTGTTTGCTGTTCTAGTGGATACGTTTGGGTACATTTAATTGTTGAGATGGGCAGTTTGTATTTCTAAATGTGGTGGGAGGAGAGGAATGCCTGGGAGTCGTTTGGAACAGTGTAGGAGGCAGTGGTGTATGGCAGTTATCTCTAAGGACTCTGGTAAGCATTTTAATGAGTGACCATTGATGGAGCTGGCGTCAGTTGTGGGTTACTCAACCTGAGCCCTCTCAAACCGGTTGCTGGAGTGGGAAATCACACTGCTCCTATCCTAGGCAGTGAGAGAAGTGGGTGCAGGTTCTCCATGAAAATCAAACATAGGGGGTTTTTTTCATGCCAGGCAACAGTAAATGAAGGCATGAAACAGGTACAACTCTGTGCACTCCTTAAAATCACTCCAGATGTAAGCCTGCACAGTTGATGTTTCTTTCTCCAGTGTGGTAAATATACCCAAACCTGGCTTTTGAATAGTGCTTCTTTGCCACGTCAGTAGCATCTGACTATACAGATTGGGAAGTGTAGTTGTAGGCAGGAAAATGGATCATATCTATCCAGCAAACCACATCTTGTATTTCTTAATGCTTCTCTTTCTTTTTTTCATTCTGCAAAATTCTGTATGCTGAAGGAGTCTGGAGCGTATACTATATGATAGGTGCATACCTGAGTGTGCACTCGGGGTATATATATTGTACTGTGTGTTTTCTGTCTTCCAGATATATGAGGTCCTGAGTGTAATCCGGGATATTGGTGCGACAGCTCAAGTGCATGCTGAGAACGGTGACATCATTGCTGAGGTATGTTATGTTTATTCTGTGGATTATTAACTTCAAAATGCTGGGAGGGATTTAAATTCTAAATCCTTCTTTGCAAACAGAAAATCACGAAGGCTTTGAAAAGCATGGCATAGCTGCATCAAGGATGCAAGCAGAGCTGTGCATCAAATCTCATCCCCTTCGTGGTCACTGATAAAGCAAGTTTTCATGGCAGTTTTCAGTTTGTGGTGGCTATCAGCCATCTCTGCCTTTCTCCCCATAAGTGAAAGACTGTGTCTGAGTGTGACTGTCACTGCATACGATAAAATGTTCTGTGGTAACTAAGACCAGGGGGAGCGGGAAGGGAAATAGCTTCATACAGTACCTGGGATGCTGATGTTTGGGATCTGTTCATCCTTTAAACAGCAACAAAGAAGAAATGTTAATAATGTATTTGGATTTAATCTGATCTCCAGCTCATTTTATACATTATGTCTCAAGCATGCAACACTTGATGTTGCAGAGGATTTCTGCATTGTCTGACTGGGGAAGAGCCCACCTGAGTCCTTGAGCCCAGTCACCTGCAGTTGCAGGATGATTTTTTCATGAGACTGTTTTGCCACATCTTAGAGATTATTTTATAGACGCAAATGAGTAGTGAAAGTCGAGGGCCTATGAACCCAGTGTGAAGCAAATCAAAATAAAAGGTTTCCCTGACCTCCTGTGAACAAATCAGCAAGGGTTTTTGCGAGCTCTGGTTATTCTCAACAAGGGAAGTTGGACAGGACTCTGGTTGTAAGGCCCTTATGTAAAGCACCATGTGATTATTAGGTAGCACAGATGCCTAGGATCTCACTTGTACCTCTTTCAAACAGCTGTGTTTGCTGCAAGAAAAAATGCATGTTGCTTTAAATCTTTTTCCTGCTCTTTTTTCTCTCTGCTATAGGAGCAGCAAAGGATCCTGGAACTGGGGATCACAGGCCCTGAAGGGCATGTGTTGAGCAGACCTGAAGAGGTGAGGACTTTACTGCCTTTGCATTTATTCCCCCAATTTATAACATCTCTGCATTGCCCTCAAGTACTTCATATTGGGATGAATGTGCTGAAAACATGGATTTCATCCTGGCTGTAAACATTATTGCTTCATGGGGTAAGGGAAGAAGCTAAGACAGTTCTAGGGACTAACTAGTAACTAGTCACTTCTGGAGACTAACTGCTGTGGGTACTTATGAGGACTTGAGGAGCCCCCTCAGCTGCTGTACTGGAGAAGGGGACATCTCCAGGGACTAATTCATCCAGCCTAAGATTTGATTCACCCTCTGGAAAAGCTCATCTCTTTCTGTTGATTATCAGAGATAGTCTATAAAGACTCTGGTCACACGTCAGGTATCTAAAGTGAGGTGAGATGTGTTTGAACCACAGAGCCCCTAATAAGCACTCAGGGCACAGAGAGCTGTTGGTACTTAGCACGTCTTCAGTTCAGCCCTTTCATAGCCCAAACTGGAATCCTACATTAGGAGATGTAGAAAATGTTGAACCTGAAGCACAGGTAGAGCACAGCCTACCTGAATCACCAATTCCTTGATTCAGCCGCTGCACAGGAACACTTTAAGATGGAGTCCCTGAAGGATTACATGTTATGATGATGTTGGTCTTTACAGAGCTAGACCCTGAAGTTCTTGTAGTTTCCCATCACTTTCAGTCAAGTTTTGCATGAGTAGACTTCAGAATTCGGCTTTGTGTAGGCAGGATTCTGCCACTAGCTTTTCTAGATCCCATTTCTTGGGCTTCTCTCTCAGTCCTTATTTTATCAAGACTTCCACTGAATGAGCAGAAATTTTTAATGCATGCCTAAATCCTGACATTCTGTCATAGGCACTTGCATAGCTTCCATGCCATAATATTTGATCATTTGATGAACATTTTACTGATGATGGATTTTTTACACTAAGGGACTAAGTGGTTTGCTGAAGGCACAGAAAATGTGTACCAGAGAGGGGAGCTAATTCTCAAATCCTAGTCCAGCACTTTACTATAGTTAACCTCCATACTTCTCCATGGATTTCTCTACGGTCAAGCACTCCAATCCCTCTCACTCTCTCTAAGTCTTTAAAATAAATCTCAAGAGTAAGAAAGAATCTTAGCACTTGGCTTTTCAGGTTGGTTCCCATTGCATTCTTTGTTTCCAGTCTTTCGGTATCTCTAAGCTAGACATCTCACCGTGGCATTCTGGGTTTGTGAAGTCCATCTGTTATGTACAAGCAGTTCTTTTTGTTCCTCCAAGATATTGGGGCTTTGCTGACTGCCAGATGTGGCAGCTGGAAGCTGGGTGTGTGAGATCATCCACACGTGCCCCTCATGCTCCCTCTCTATTTCCTCCCCTTGCTTCAGACAAACAGCATCCAGAGACATTTCAGTAGGAATATAAATCATTCAGTTGCTTCATGCAGAAGGGTAAAAAAATGCTTGACTTGGGCAGTATGTGAATCCTCACAGAATTTGTGTTTGGCTCTGGGAGCTTGGATTTTTTGCTTCCTGGAAGTTGTGAGCAAACATTTGCACTAAGCCTTCCACCCACCCACCCCTGCATTTCTTTTTTTACATATTTTTTGGCTTGCATCAGGAGAACAGGAACAGATGCTGACATGGCACTTGGGGCTCATTTGTGGAGCACCCCTAAACTTTTGTTGACTTCAAAGGAAGGCTGCTCCTTACCTTAAAAGATCTGGCTGTCAAACTAGCCAAGTTTTGTCTGGCTACTTCAAAGCTCATCCTTAGTGGAGCAGGAACTTTAAAGTGTGAACTGTGTGGCTCCCTGGCTTGGTTGATTTGTTACATCTGTCTCCTGCACTTTGCAGAAATGTGTTCTTTCTCAGTATTGCAAGGAAGGCTTCCTGAGGACACGTGGCTGCCTCAAATGAGGATCAGTAGAGCCCTTTCCCAGTGTCACTGGGCAGCCTCTGTGCAGCTGCACTCAGCTGTGCTGTCTGCCCAGAGTGGAAGCAATTGGTCCGAAATTCTCCTCCTTGAATGTCATAGGAAACAGAGCAGGAAACAATGTCATCTGGTTCCCTCCCCTCCTTTTCTCCAACACGGGAGTAACTTTGTGTTTTTAAAAACATACAACTGCCTTTAAGCTGGCTGACCACAAAGGCCAGATTCTGAGGGTGGGAGCCGATCCATAATTCCTGTTGACTTCAGTAGGAGTGGATGTTTCTTGGTATCCCTCTGGGGTGCTGTTAAGGCTAGAATTGGCTTTTCATGCCACCCCTTAAGGAGTGTAAAGCCCGTCCTAAGGACTTCACGATGGTTGTCATCTTACTGAAGAGCTGCTTAATTCAGACCTCCATCTACAGCAAACTAGCAGGAGTTGTTGAACAAGTCTAAAATATTTATTAAATCAAAACTCCCACTCAGTTCAGTGAGAGCCTTCATCAGAGTGAAGCATTCAGGGTCTGGCCATGTGCATTTGTGTCTTACTTGGAGCATACGCATCTTCTGAATTCCCAGGTTGAGCAGAAGGCATGAATTAAGGCTTAAGTTTCACTGCTGACTCATGCGTTTAGCTTGCTCACCTCAGTAACCTGGGTTGAGCCAAGGTGACGGTATTCAGCATGTTGTTCCAACCAGCAAAGGGAGCCTTAATTAAGACATCACCGTCCCAAGTCAGCATCACCCATCACTTTCTGGAAAACTCTCCCCTCCATAGCTCAGATCATTCTGTGATGACTTTTCGGAGCCATCCATCATTTTTTGTTTTTGTTTTAGCCACAAAAACGCTGAAAGCACGAGCAGTCCAAGTGCTCCAGGAAATGTCTGTCTTTTTTTCCAAGAGAACTGCTGTGCTAGGGCTTCTAATGCATACTGGTAATTGCAAACATTCCCCTTTAGACTAGTCGTTGGGTTATTGTTATGTGCCTGTCACCATAGCATCTGGGCACAAGGCATGAATTCAGCAGCCTTGTTCTCTTCTGTGCAGAAAATATTCTCTTCCTGCTTAGCAGTTGCTCAAATGTCTTTTGGTCAAAAGTCTGGAGATGCGTGTCGTTTTATCCCTGCTTTGCAAGTGGGGAAACTAAGGCACACTGTGGAAACGTGACCTCCAAGTGCTGCAGTGACAGAGCTGTGCGCAGGCCTGCTTTAAACGGGCGGTTTGCAAACCGATGCCATTGCCTGGAAGCATTCGCCCGTCTGAGTTCTCTCCTTGTCTCTCAGGAGGGACAAGTATGCTTTTCTTGGCTCTTCCTTTCAGCCTCCATCTTCCTTGCAAGTGCTGCTGGCTGTGGCATACTCGAGTGAAATGTTCTGGAATAAACACCCTTCCTTGCAGCCTTTTCCATTTGCGTGGGGCAGCTGGGCCAGAAAATGTCCCCTTCTGTACATCACCCTGCCTGGGGAGGGTTAGTCACAAGCCCTGGCGTGGTGACAGCCTAGGGCTTTAACCCTTTTGGCACTAGAGACCAACCTGCTCGCTCTGGGGGGCTGGTTTTCTTTTAAAAACTCCCAGCTGTTGTCGTGTTGTTTTTCTTGAGCAGTCCAGCTGCAGACAGAGCAGTGTTACAGGCGGTGGCTTTGTCAGAGCTGTTCTGGGCACTTGGACATCAGTGTGGCGAACACACCTTTTCCTAAGCTGGTGGGTCCTTGATTTCAGGTACTTCTTTCAGTGGGCCAAGCGCGGTGCTAGGAGCCAGCAGTCAATGCATTCTGATTCTGGGACTGATGATGATTTACAGTGCTTGGCCTGCGATAAGTCACTGTAGAGCAGATTTTCAAAAGTGCTGAGGATGTGCCAATCCCACTGGAGTCCACGGGAGGTGCTGGTAGCCTCTTGCATTTGGGAATCAGGTGGCTGATTGCTCTGGGTTTCAGTTTCCTCTGTTGTTTGCTTGGAAAATGTCTGTGGTATTGCAGGCTCAGTTCTCCATGGTAGTAGGCACTATCAGCATTACCCTGTTGTTAAATCTGTCATCTGGACTGCTTTGATTAGGACGTGTGATCTATAAAAGTCTGCAGAGTGATTATGTTCATTCTAAGACTGTAGTTATAAAGCGACCCTCAGTCTTGCTGAGGTTATCTCCCTACACACGCAAGAAAAAGTAGTTGATTTATGGGGTGGTTCACACTCTGTCAGATCCCAAGCCAGATATTGTAGTGGAGGGTACAATTTAGGAGCCTTGTTTGCAAACGTGGCTTACCAGAGTATGTGGCTACAGCATCTCTCTTCCACGTGGGCTGGAACATGAATAGTTTTGTTGAGTCAACATTTAGTTGCTTATTTTTGTCTAGGTTAAAGAAGGGGCTTAATCATTCTGACCTTGAGCACCTGGAGTGTTATTTTAGGACTTAGCCTGCTTGCAGAGAAACTTTGAAGCAGCCTGGGTTAAAAGGTAGTAATGAGAGGGGACTACAGCTTGATGTCATTTTAATTATCGTGATTACACGGTACATTTTTCTGGCTCAGAATCGGAGAGGTGGAAAGTCTCTCATCTCGGCCCTGCACACTCTGTTTTCCCGTGAAAGCAGAGGCTGTGACCCTCTGAAGGTGAATGGGATATGCTAACATGTGGGGATGCCACTAACTTGCTGCTGACTTTGTTTCTCAGGTGGAGGCGGAGGCTGTGAACCGGGCAATAACCATTGCCAACCAAACCAACTGCCCCCTTTATATCACCAAGGTGATGAGCAAAAGTGCCGCTGATGTCATTGCTCAAGCCAGGAAAAAGGGTAAGTTATTTCCCTTGGACGGAAGCACCCTATTAGCTCATACAGTTCAACTCCTTGCCAACATAGGCTTCATCCCTCCAGGAGAGGTTTCTTTTTCCAGTGTTATTGTCCAGGCTCTTTTTTAAAAGGTCCCAAGCAACTGCTTCTGTCTCATCTCCCACAGACAAGTATTCAGTGATCGTATCAGTGCCAGGAGTCGTTTCTTCTGCTCAGCCTAGAGCCTCTCTCTTCACACTCATCCTACCACATTGAGGCATGTGCCTTCATGTTTTTGCAGAGTAATATCATGCTGTCTCCATTTAATGAATCCCCCTGGAGACTGCAAGCTGTGTCCTCCTTCCAGCTGCTTTCGTCTTTCCTTGGTGCTTTCTGCTGAGCTGCTTCCTGGGGTCAGAAGTGATTCCAAGGGTCCTGACGGAGGTCTCTAACTCATGAGCCCTGTTGGATTTAGTTGGAGTAGCCAAAGAGGTTACCGATTCCAGCTATCCACTGTGCTCCTTGTTTGGGACATAGATAGTCCTCGTGTGCTCTAACTCACAGCGTGGCATCCAAACAGGAATTGGGACCGATACTCTGGGTTAGGCTGGGAACTGCAATCGCCTCTGATAATTCTGCCTGAGGATGCTGCAAGAAGCAAGACTCAGACCTGTGGTGGATGCTGCTGCCCTGTGTCTCCTCTCTCTAACCGAGGTCTGTGAGGGAGCTGAGCTGCTCTGAGTGATGCAGTAGCTTCTCCTGAGTCCTGACCCTGCTGTCTTGCCACCAAGGAGCAAGGGTTACAAAGCACAGTGAGTGCCTGTCTCCCTGCTTTATTCTGTGACTAAACCCTTCATTTCTATTTAAAGCGTCTCTGGGTGGGTGAGTAAGCAGGAGGGATGATTTTCCCCCTTCTTTCCTCAGAAAGGTTGGATTTAATTTTATGCCGTCTAAATAAGCCTGAATGGATATACAAATGACATCACTTTCCATCTGGGTGTTTGGTGTGAGAAGAGCTAATTTCCTACCGCAGCAAACAGATTGGTGTTTGTGTATTGGCTCAGAAGTATTTTGGTCCCATGATTCCTGTTAAACGAGTTCAGAGCTGGTGAGGAGGACTGATTTCCAAGACATCTCTTTCTGTTTGTGGCATGGAAGCAGCTCGAACTGTTTGGGATAAACCTTCCTCTCCTAGCTCCATTAGTGGAGATCATGCTGAAATGAGAAGATGTGTTGACGTGCAAAAGTGTCTGCACGTTGCATTACCCCAGAAAACAACTTGATGTGGCTGCGCAACTCAATCCTATAAGCCAGGGAAGCATCCCTTCCTTTTTCTAGGTAAAGTACTGGAGACATATGCACCACAGAGGTGCAGCATCAACATAAACACCCTCTTGTTATGCTCACTGTCCCCTGTGATGACTAACTGGCAAGTAGATAGGAGTATTGGGATGAGGGACCGTACACGTGCATCGCAGAAGACATAAAACACAGCCTGACTTGGGTGGATGTTACCTTGCCTGTGAAAGGTGCTGGGTTGTCCCAGATGAATGATCCACAGAACTCACTTTACTGAGCCTCCTGAGTGAACTAGCGTACGCAGTTTTCATTCAGATTGCATTTTCTCCTTATAAGGAGAATTTGGGGTATAAATGGCACACCATTCTGTTCCTTTATTTAAATAATTCAATTTAAATGCTGTGCAGTTACCCAACTGGCTAACCCAGGAGGGCCACACACACTAGTCTTGCCCTCCCAAGCAACAGAGGAAACATAACTGAAGACTATCCAAGGCGAAAACAAAACAGAATTGATTTGCTAAATGGAAAAGAATGCATGTTATTTAAAGCCAGATGTTCCCAGTGGCATTTGTATGGAGGAGATTCCCTGCAGACTCTGTCGTTGGCAGATCTGGGAGCTCAAAACATCGCTCCCTGCAGAACAATCCTCCCAATGTATTGGCCTACAACAGGCCTCCCATTAATAGCCAGCGTGTGTTTTGCCTTGTTCTGATTTCATAACCCTATTTGTGGCAAGTGATGTCAGACGGCCTCTTCCGCTGCTGGTGGATCCCCTCTGACAAAGGCTGTTCCTACACCTCCTGTTCCAGTGTGGTCCTGGAAGCAGCATGAAGCCAGTTAATGCATCGTTCTGCCTCAGCTAATGCACTCTTTCCCAGCTAGCTTGAGAGGCTCTAGGCGTAACAGTAGCTCAGACAATATGGTGAAAGAAAGGTCATGGTTTTTTACTCTGCATGGTGGGGTGTGTAAGACCCTGCTGACCAGTTCTGGGGTTGCCTTTGCCAGTCTTTTCCAACTGAAGTATTTAGTATTTTAACTACCCACGTCTTTTGCAGGCAGATACAAATACATGAGGTGTCTGGGCTCAGAAGCCAGATGGATAGGCATTTTACGGAGATTTCGGGAAGGTTGCATTTGGTGAGCAGATCTGTGGGGCTGCCAGCTTGCACTGCTTTTGAAGTTGCAGCATCTTGCATCTGCTTGGTGTGCAGATGTTGCTGGTGCATTCCAGCTTGCAAAGTATCGTGGCCTTAAGGATCCGCTGTTCCTTCAAGTGGTTCCAGAAATGTTAATGAAGAGGAAGGATGCACTGGTGGTTAGTGCACTGGACAAAGAGTCAGAAGATCCAATTTAATTTCCTAGTTCTGCCACAGATTTACTGTGTACCCTTGGGGAGTCACTTGGTTTCCCTGAGCTGCATTTGTGAACCAGAAACACCGATACTTCCTCTGTGATGTGCTTTCTCTGTAGGCAGGAAACTTTCCTGATAGGGGTTTTCTCTTATCCGATCTATGCACAGAGCCTGCTCCAATAAACCCAGCCTTGTTAGACCCTTAATACATACACATTTATAAAAACATTGCAGGCACTATTTTTTTCGTTCTTTTTCTTCCACATCCCTTCTGGATCGGACTGGATCTCCTCACGCCTTTACAGTTCCCCTCAGCCTCTTTCAGAAGGTTCTTGGCCCTGGATATAATACAGTGAATCCTTACAGTAACCCTTTCAAGCGCAATTAATCATCACTGACCTCAGCAATTGTGTAATGGCATTGTGCACATTTTGCTGCTCCATGCTCTTACCAGTAACAGTATCTTTATTATTAACTCAGATATTTAGAGGTTTGGATACTTATTCCAAGGGACTGATTTTTGGAGAATGCTCAGTGTTCCTTCAGAAATCTCAAGATAGGCATACAAAATTAAGAGCTTGCTTGTGAAAACATGTCCTTAGTAACATGATATAGTTTCAGAGGAGCATGGAAGAGGCCTGGAGTTTAATGGTGTCTGATCATCTGGTTGTGCAGGCCAGTGAATTCAATCCAATGTTGTGTCTCTGTGATCACATACTTAAGAGGAAGTACCAAGAAACCAAGAATGCGTGCGTACTCAACTCATCCTATTTCAGAAGGATGCTTTAGGCCTGGAAGCCAGGCTGGAGATGCATGTTGCATGGTGCTCACAGTGGATTTCCCTGTCCTATAGGCACTGTGGTGTATGGAGAGCCCATCACAGCCAGCCTGGGTACCGATGGATCTCATTACTGGAGCAAAAATTGGGCTAAGGCGGCAGCTTTTGTTACTTCCCCACCACTGAGTCCTGACCCAACCACTCCTGATTTTCTCAACTCACTACTGTCCTGGTGAGTAGAGTTCTTTGTGTTCATACAGCATGCGGTTCATCATGAGACAAGTGGGTGATAAAAATAATAGCTGTTGTTGCCAGCAAGCGAAAGGCTCTTTTATCTTTTAAGAGTAAACCTGTGACAATAAAATATCTTAAATACCTATCGTTGTCTTTTCCAGTGGAGACCTCCAAGTTACTGGCAGTGCCCACTGCACCTTCAACACTGCTCAGAAAGCTGTTGGGAAGGACAACTTTACCCTGATCCCTGAAGGAACCAATGGGACTGAAGAGAGGATGTCCATCATCTGGGATAAGGCTGTGGTATGTCCCATGTGTCATAGGCTTAGGCTGCAACTAGACATTCAGAGCTGAAAGAGCTGCAGCAGTGTGGTATTATCTCCCCCCCAGATGCTTGTTTTGGCCCTTCCACTTCAGGTTTTTGCTCCTATAGAGATCATTGGAAATCGGCTGTGCTGTCAGCTATTTGCTTTTCGGAGTGGTCCCCACCTGGCTAATGCAGTGACTCCTTTTGTCTTTCCCCAGGTGACTGGCAAGATGGATGAGAACCAGTTTGTCGCTGTGACCAGCACAAATGCAGCTAAAATCTTTAACCTGTACCCACGGAAAGGCCGTATTGCAGTGGGCTCGGATGCTGATCTGGTTATCTGGGATCCTGACAGTGTCAAGACAATCTCCGCCAAGACTCATAACATAGTAAGGGTATTTTCTACGGTGTGAGCTCTGCTGCTCATTTCCTTCTCTCTTCCTTCAGTGCCAGACTGTGCTGCCAAGAACTAGAGCTCATGAGAACTCAGGGCTTTGTTTTCTCGATGCCCCAAGCCCTCTCTGGTCTTACACCCAGTACAGCTCAGTTGTGTGAGCAGAAGGGAAGACGATTGAGTCCAAATCTGAAATCACATGAATACCCAGAGATTCCCCTCGGAGCAAAGAGATTGTCTGCTCTGAGTGTTGAATGCTTGGATCTGAGCACACAGAAAGCTCTTTAAATCTTCTAAAATATCAAAAGGCCTCTTATCACAGTGTGGCATTTATGACCTTCTGGCTTGCTAGCAGTGGGAATGTGAACTGCCCATTTTCTAGTTGGGGTCAGTGAAGCTTATCAGCTCGTGGACATCTTCGCTGGAGATCTGATCCAGATCAATGAGTCTGAGTGGATTTACACGACATTCTGATCTGGCATAGGTGTGTGGAGTCATACTTAGACATGATTTTACTGGTGATCATCCCCATGTTACTTGGCCCAGGGAGGCACAAGAACGCACCCAGACTAACCAGACCTTCCCCTTCTTTCTTCTGTGGCTTTGTGGTGGCATTGTTAGAGGCACTGTTTGCTTGTGGGCCGCAGCTGTGTCCCATGTCTTATACCTGGCTCCTACAGTGAAAAAGCTGTCCTGCCCTGTGGGAAACTGCAGAATGGTCCCAGTGCAAAGGGCTGGTTGGAGTCTCCCTGTGACATTCGAGCACTGCCTCAGAGAAAGCAACCACTGTTTGCATTTGTTGACGACTTGTTTCACTGCTGGCGATGAACCTATGGAATGTTTCCCTGGAAAAAAACTCCTTGTTCTTTTTTCCGTGAATGCTTTCATTCACTCTGGAGCTGTAGGAGCAAAATTTTCTTCCACACTTGAATCCCTGGGCACATTCACAAAGAAATTTTTTTTAAAGGTTTGGTTAACTTCTCTGTGACTTAACTCTGTGTCAGAATTGGTCACAGATGGCCTGGATTCATCCTGCCTGTGCTTAGACTTCTAACAGAGGCATCCCGACTCAGAAGTCTGGTCGCTTCAATCACCTTAGAGGTGCTTCCAGACTCATCACACCTCCAGTCTGGAGAGGAATGACTTAGAGAAGGGAGCCCAGGGACATACCGCGATTAGGTGCCAAATTCAGTGGTCTGAACCTGGGTTTGTGCTTATGAATGGCTCAGAGAGCTGGAAGTAGCTTGCCGGATGGAGGATTTGAAAGTCATTGCCATTTAATGGCTGTTGTCTTTAGGAAATGAATTGGACTCTTTGAATTTCCTAACACAAAATTCAGAGACTTTATCTTTTGTGGATAGGCTCCAGTACAATCACAGAATCATAGAATCACAGAATCGTTAAGGTTGGAAAAGACCCTTAAGATCATCAAGTCCAACCGATAACCTAGCACTGCCAAGTCCACCACTAAACCATGTCCTCAAGCACCGTGTGTACCCTTCTTTTAAATACCTCCAGGGACGGAGACTCAACCACTGCCCTGGGCAGCCTGTGCCAGGGCCTGACTACCCTCTCGGTGAAGAAGTTTTTCCTAATATCCAACCTAAACCTCCCCTGGCGCAGCTTGAGGCAGTTTCCTCTCATCCTATCACTTGTTACTTGGGAGAAGAGACCGACCCCCACGTCGCTACAACCTCTCTCCAGCTGTAGAGAGCAATAGGGTCTCCCCTCAGCCTCCTCTTCTCCAGACTAAACAACCCCAGCTCCCTCAGCCACTCCTCCTAAGACTTGTGCTCTAGACCCTTCACATCAGGACTGACTCCATGATTTTGCCATAGATCTGGGCTAGGCTGAAGGAGAACCAGATCTGCTATGAAGCAACCATTCAAAAATACTTTATATGCTAAGGATTGCAGATCCCCCTGAAACTCTTGCACCATGTAAGAGGCCTCGGCACTCAATGATCAGCTATTACCAAAGTCTGCATCTTTAGGTTGTGCCAAGACTATGGAGGATGAAGAGCTTTCTTTTTCAAGTGGTTTGTTTGAAGCTTGAAGGGCTGTCTAAGAAATCGCAGCTGTTTTTCTTACATGTCCCGCTCTAACCTCTTCCCCTGTCGTTGCATTGCCTGTTATACCTGGCATTACACCTGTTGGGGTATTTTTTTGTGTCTCACACTGCACGTGTGCCTTGTGTTAGAGGAGAAATGGATACGAGGGATGCCTTTAGGCTCAAGGCATCCTAGTTTGGTCAAGTATAAAACAAAAGCCCCTTTGAAAGTCAGGCGGAGCAGTTGCTGTGACACAGGGAGACGTAGTGATTATGTGGCATCAGATGATTGTTACTTTTTTAAAAGCTAGAGCAACATACGGATATTTTCCAAGAATTCACACTGCCCTTGCCACTGTCTGGCAAGAAAACATTTGGAGCTAGAGCGAGAGATAGTGTTGTTCTTGGAACCAGCCTAATTCATAAGCTTCTAACCGAGCCTCCTCCTTTGCCACCACTTTTTTTCAGGGTGGACCCGGTTCAGTGTCGGTTTAACCGCCATTCTAGCTAATTGTAAATCTTCAGTCAAGCCTACCCATGCTTATAACACACTTCAAGAGCAAACTCTGTTATTAACTCAGTAAAAAAGACCTGGATTTGTCTCAGAGATGGTCACTAGAGTAACAGTCCCCAAATAAAATGGTTGTAGTGCATCTCATTCCAGGATGCTTCATGGGTGGGACATTTACCAGTGATTCCTTTAAAACCTGTCTTTTTTCCGTGGTGTAATGTTCCCAATCCTGTTAATTAAGGATGAGCAATCCCATTAGAGTAAAACAAGATTGTCCTGGTCCCTGACCCATCAACACTAGTTTGAAATACAGCTTTTCAAAATTACCATTATTTTTAGTATGAAACTCAGATAAAGCTTTATTTGGCTCCTAAATCCCCCACAATTCAGAAGAGATAGGAGCCTAAATGTATTTAAACAGCTAGGCTTTGAGATATTCTCATTTGAAACTGTATTTCCTCTTTAAGAATCTTGTTGCAATGAAAATTTTGCATGAGTAAATCCTTAATAAATTTAGACAGATAATAAAGACCAGCCTTTGTATTAAACCGCAGCATAGATAACTCAGGTAAATGCTGTTGAGTTTGCTTCCATCTGTCCTTAAAATTTTGGCAATTAGCATGACTGGTGATTGCTAATTAAAGCACAGCAGGCTCTGCCGGGATGAATATGTTTGCCTCATGTTGTCGTTTTGTTTGTTCTAGTCTCTGGAGTACAATATCTTTGAAGGCATGGAGTGCCGTGGATCTCCCCTGGTGGTTATCAGCCAGGGGAAGATCGTGCTGGAGGATGGGAACCTCCATGTCACCGAGGGATCTGGACGGTATATCCCCAGGAAACCATTCCCTGACTTTGTTTACAAGCGCATCAAAGCAAGGAGCAGGGTGAGTGTAAATGGCTGGATACACATTTGTTCTCTCACTGGAACTCCTGAGTTAAAGTGGGTGGAAAACAGATGCTATCCCCTGGCTTGCAGACACACACTTCTGCAACAGAAAATGTTCCCTGGATAGCAGCCATATTTATCTCATTCCTCTTTCATTTTTGCTATTCACTTGAGTCATTACAGGACTATGCTTTGGCTTGAGCTTGGGTTTTCTGCAAATTTTATTTTTCTGCTCTTTAATTCTTCTCTGTCTTGGGACACCTAGACAGACCATGTGTCCAGTAACTGTCCGGTTTGGACAGGAGTCAATCTGCAAATAACCTGGCAGGCTTCTCCTGTCACAGAAGTACCAAGAGAAGTTATTGATGGCATTCATATATCAAACCTTTCAGCAACAATTTCGAATTCTAATTTATTGTTATAGATACATTATGCTGCTTTCCCTTCTGTCAGATCTGATCAGATGCTCTTGTCTGGTGACTGGTGAGTCACAGGCACAGCCTACTGACTCTTTAAAAGTGAGAATTTTCTATTTTTAAGAGGCTAAATTTGTTGGAAAAGTGTTTTTGTAAAATACACCCATTCAAAACAGAAACTGCCTTTTGATATGCCTTTAGTTGGTAAAAACTGACAGAGAAGATGACACTGAACTCAGCTGCAACTTAGCTGCTGAGGATTTAAGAAGTTTATTTCTAGATGAAGTCAGATTTCTGAGGAGAAAAGTATTTTGATGTTTGAAGTGTTGCCCTCTCCTGGACAAAACCAGAGCTGTGTTAGTTCTGCTGACCATAGGTAATCTTCACATTCCTTGCAAATGACCTTTCCTTAATTGTTCTTTTGAAGAAATTGCGAGTTATCAAAATTACAACCTCAAATAATTTAGCACCGCAGAGTGCTTCTGTTTGGTTTCTGTGGTGGTCTGGTCTCCCACAGAAATACGTGTCTGACCTATAAATCCAATTGGGCAGCATCTCAACTGGAATAATTGCATTTGACCCAATCTAAAGCTCCCAAGCCGGCGATGTGAAGCTAGCCTGGCTCCTCTTTATGCAGACCTGCCTCTGTCTCAGTGTTGCTTTGCTTTTTGGGGATGAGTAATAAGTTTCATTTGAGAGTTGTCAGGAGCCTTTAATACAACAGCAGGTAGGTTGAGATCATTAAAGGACAGAACCTGCGGTGCAGGGGACAGACTGGCTGTCTTCTGTAGCCTGCTCACACCAGGTAACAACTAACTGGAGCCACAGCAGTCCAGAGCGCGTTTCATTTTATCCGTGCTGCTTCAGGGCGCAGCTGCCACCCGAGGATCAGCACGGAGGAGATGATGTACGCTTTCAAATCCTCTTACCAAAGACAAATCTTGAAATGTGTGTCTTTGGCTTAGCAACATCTGGCGGGCTGTTTAGTTCTGTTTTGAAGGCTGTTTTGACCCTGAAGACTGCCTGCTTCTGTGTTTTGCAGCTGGCTGAGCTGCGGGGTGTGCCTCGAGGCCTCTACGACGGACCCGTCTGTGAAGTGTCAGTGACACCGAAGACCGTCACACCAGCATCTTCAGCTAAGACATCTCCTGCCAAACAGCAGGCCCCACCCGTGAGGAACCTGCACCAGTCTGGATTCAGCTTGTCTGGTACATACTTCTATGGGGCTAAATTGCTTTGAAATTACGGCTTGTTTACGCTCCCATACTCTGAATTAATTCTGCTGAAATTGGAAGGCAATGAGAGAGACTGTGATGTGTTTTTAGCTTGGAGGTTATCCCTTTAGAAAGGAGGAAGAGCAGTATAGGAGCTATCATAAAGTCCTGCTTATTTTCATGCCGTGGGATGAATGATGAGTACTCCATTGCGTTCTGGGCTCGGTCCTCAGCCGGGTGTCTGAAGAGGGCAGATGGCGGAGCATTGCCAGCTGAGACCAGCTGTGGATCTGGTATGTGGCAGATTTGATTTCTCAGTGTGCTGTTTCAGTGCAATAAGGGAAAACTATAAAAAGGAGTGAAAAGGCTCGCTAAGGGAAAACCATTTAGCCATCTCTTACCTGTGCAGGGCTGGGTGGCTCAGCTGTTTTGTGCGGAGATATTAATGCAGAACAGATTTCAGCAGAATGAAGGCATAGGAGGCCAGTAAGGGCTTTTCCTCCGAAGATGATGCATTTTGGTGCACACAGTTGGAGCCTGGCTTAAGAGGAGTTGATGGGTTTCAATGCAGCTGTGCTCTCCCAACTCCCTTGTCCCACAGCTCGCTCTTCTCAAACTCTGGCTGGCCCAGGGGACCTGACATTGCTTCTCTCTCCCGCAGGGGCACAGATCGATGACAACATCCCACGCCGCACGACTCAGCGCATCGTGGCACCGCCCGGCGGACGTGCCAACATCACCAGCTTGGGCTAAGGACCGACCCCTTCTGTGCCCGCCTAGCGGACCAGGGGACAGGGGCACCTGGAGACCCTTTTTGATTCTTTTAGAGCCTGTGACAGTTACTGCGGGCAACCAGTGAGGGGGGGCTGAAGTAAGGCACCTCCTTCAGTCCCCTCAGATTCCCTCCTCATCTTCACCAACCCCTCTCACTTCCCCCCTCAGCCCCTACACATTTAAAGAAATAAACCCTGTTTTGACACCTCTGACATGCAAAAGTAAATGTAAAGAGGGTGTTTGAGATATGTGGCCTCTGTCCCATTCAGCATCTTTCTTTTAATAAAGGAAGGACAAAGTGAATTTCCCTGGAGCTGCCTTTAAGACACACACAAAAAAGGAATAAATAAATAATAAATGGAAAAAATAGCGCTTTTTTTTTTTTTTAAATGTCGAGCAGAAGAGTAGTTCAAGGGTTTGAAACTGGATATTCTGTAGGGTTCTGTGTTCCAGCAGAAAAGCTAGGCAAGCATGGAGGGACACGAATCCCAGCCTGTCTGTAACCATTCCCCACCACCGCCTTTGAGGTCACTGAATAGCTGTCTGCTGCCAAGAGAGAGAAACAGGACCCAGCGCTAGGAATTGACAAAGCGCATCGCACCCAGCCATCGGGTGAGCTAGAATCATTGGGGACTTTGGTTCTGTTTGTTTGTTTTTTCATTTATTTTTTTTTTCCTTCTGGATTTTGCTGCAAATTAGGTCCTTGAGGAAACTTTTTTTTATGTTTGTGTGTGTGATTTTAATATGTTTGTATCATTGTGTTTACGAAGCCTTATCTGAGAACTGGGGATCTCCCTGTTCTTCCTTCCCGAACCTCATTCAAGTTACAGGCTCCCGCCAGAGTCACTGCCACCGCCACCCTGATACTTCAGGTGTTCCTAGGTTGCGTCATTCCAGCCAACGCTTGCCACTTAGCTGCAATAGGAGGTCGCAGAGCAGGTTCATAAGCTATGATCTTCACTTCAGTGTGCTAGGTCTTGAGCTGGTGCAAACAAAGGGGCTGGATACCAGCTGAGGAGCTGGGACAGAGTGTCTTGAGAAGTTTTTAGTAGTTAGTTTGTCTTGTGTTCCTGGAGGTGGAAATCAATAAGCAAGGGGCCATGGGCAAAGAGCAACATGTTGCTTGAAGGATTTCTGTAGCAACCACGTTCCCCCTTCCTGGCCATCAATGAGTGGTTATTTAAAGCTTTATGAGAGCTTATCTTTAGCTCTCATCGAAAGGCCAGTCAGTTGAGTGTGTGCCTGAGCACCTGTGGCAATTCCAGTTTGAGTCCAGATGCCCAGCTGTTGTAACTGGGAGCCTCAGAGCAGCTCAATGGGTCAACAGCAGCTGAGAATCTCTCGTACACGGTGTGAATTTCACAGTCACTCGTTCCTTCAGGAATCTGCCTTTGTGCAAATGTTCCTGAGAAAGCCTGTTGGTTCCCCACCCTTCCTCAGATGCCTGCTGCTTCAGATTTGAGAAACCACAGGCCATGCGTGCTCCTTGAATGAATTTAGGAGCCCCAGCTTCTATGGCAGTCAGCGGGATCTGGGCATTTAACTATCTTCTGGGATTGAAGGTCTTTTAGCCCTAGTATTAGAGGCTCATTATCTTCAGGACATGGAGAATAAATCTGCACCATTAGATTCCCACTTAAACTTAGCTGGAGGGCTTGGCGGTCCCAAGGACTTGGCCTGTCTCTTAGCACAGAGAGCTTTTCTACCCGCAGTTAACACAGCGTTACCTCCACTATCTGTATGCCCTGGCACTTGGCTGCATCTTCTGCTTTCTCTTCTATTTGTACTTTGCCACGTACATTGATGTTGTTTTTCCATATTTGTGAGTTTTTTCTTAAATGGTGTTTACAGGTTCTTTTAGGGAAAAAACTATATATATGAAGGCTTTTAAGAAACAAGTACCAAATCTGTTGTTATGAAGTATCAATGCTGGGATTTGCAAAGGATCTGGAAGCTATGTAGGTACCCAAACCTTCCCAGCTTCAGCACCTAATTCCTTTAGGCCTCTTTGAACACAAAAGTTAAGAAAAACATTGCCATATTCATCCATGCATTTTGCATTTAGGTTTAACTCTTGGGTCTTCTAGTTTTGCATAAAAGAGTTTGCACTTTGTTTGTTAAGTAATCCGTGAACTTAATATATATTGCAGCTATTTTCATTTTTTTTCACCTGTATGTTAAAATCAATTTGAACGAGTTGGGGAGAAAAAAAAAGAATTGCAGATCCGTTTCAATTCTACGAAACACTTGCGGCTCTTCAGTATTCACTTAAGTCTTCCTTTTTTTTTTTCCTTCACTGACTCATGATGACTTTTTAGTTTTAATTTGTTCTTCAAAAGGAAAAAAAAATCACAAAAAAAGATTTTTGCAGGCTATGTAAGCATGTTTTTTCCTGTGAGAGCTCGTCCGCTTTGTGTCTGTTTAATGAATGTCATATGTAAATGCTTAAAGAAAAAAAAAAGACGATGACTTAATTAATTAATTAACCGCAGTGACTTGAAGCTCTAAAAATAAAAAAAAGTAGGATTTAATACTAGCTGGATTTAACCCTTGGATTTGTGATTGTGAACCATGAGTGGAGGAGCTGTAAGTGCTAAAGCTGATCATGTGTGTAGACAAAAAGAAGTACTGATATTTGACCAATGTCTCAATGGCAAAAAACCCCACCCCAACCCCAAGTCTTGTGTTTTATTCCTTAAGAACTCTGTGTTATATTACCATGGGAACTCCTAATAAAGACAAAATGTTGTTGTTTCACTAGGTGCATCTGTGTCTCAAGGCGATACGTGTTCTGTGTAACTGTGTACCTTGGTTGGTGCCTTCAACAGATAAAAACTGACTGAGCCCTGAAATCGGTGCTAATGTAGGCTGATGGTAGTCGTGTGCAGGAGTGAGATGTACAGTAGCCGTGGTTCCTTGGAAGATGGTGATGGTAAAGAGGAATCAATGATCCACAGTGTCATTTCCTTAGAGAAAAGCAAGCCTCTTCTCAGGGCAGTTGTCTGTTTAAGGCAGTATTTGGCAAAGCAGAGAGATTTGCCTGAAAACTCCTGGCTCCGCATTGCAGAGATCACTGATGAAATGTGAGCAAAAGAAGCTAAAACTATTGGCATAGCCTTCAGCCCTCCAATGTGTTTCTACTTGGACCCTCGTAACAGCGATGGAGGAGGGGAGAGAAAGTACAGCCATAAATAGAAGCCACACACAGATAACTGAATGGGAAGTGTTAGAGCTGGCTGGAAAAATGCCAGTGAAACTTTCAGTGGTGGTGGTTGGGTTTTACTGTGTCGCAGAGATGCTGTGGGTGAGATTGCACCGGACCATGGGAAGGGCTCAGAAAGAGCCAGCATCGCTGTCAGCCACTCAGACTGTTGGTTGCTGCATCCCTACATCCACCAGATCAACCCTCTTGGTGGTCTTCCCCCAAATCCGAGCACAGCTGGAGTTTGCAACTGACTTTGCAATGATGTTTAGCTCTTGTTCCTCATCTGAACAAAACCAAATGTTGAAGCACTCTGTGAAATGCAATTAGCTTTCACCACACAACTTTAAACCCGGCACCCCTATCCAGTGGGAGGTTTTAAGGGAGTTTCCTTTTTATCTGTTGAGAACGGGCAATGGTCATCCACTAATAAAAAGACTTCTGGTTAATGTGGAGATCCTGGCTCTTTCACCAATGATGTGCAGTTATTTGGCTATTGGCAGCTTAAATTAGATATCAGCGTATATGCAATCAAATCCCATAGAACAGGGTTGGTGGGTAGTTGTGTGTAAGATTTATTAGCTTGTCCCAACAGTAATATCCCAGTGAAAGACACATTCAGCCTAAAGCACTAGTGTTTAGTTAATACACATCTGCAGAGCCTCCATTTGTTTTTATTCTATCATTATTTCTTCCTCTGGCGTCTAAATTGGAAAGAAAGAAACTTCTTCCCCAGGAAATCAATTCCAGGGACTCCGTGAACCTGGTCCGTGTTGGAACAGGCCAAAAAATATCAACTGAAGCGTACGGAAGTTTTTGAGGTCAGGAAGAAGTCATCAACAGCCAGATCTAAACGTAACGTGTACCGAGGAAGCAAGCCAGTGAGAAATCTCAGGAAGATATTCAGGTCAGTGGGGCAGTGCTGGTTTGCTGCTACAGAAGAGCACAAGAATAGCTGTATTTTGTCAACCCGTTAATCCAGGTAATTCCTTATGCTGGCAGCAATGAGGCCTAGCTCACGCCTTGTTACGGATGCACTGATTTGGTTCTCTGCAGGCCTCCCATTGACTGGTCTGTGGCCACGCACGTAAGACCCAATATAGATTTAATCTGATCTTAACATTAATACAGAATTAGTGGTTAAAAGGAGAAGAAAGAAAGCAGACAATGAATTTGACTCAGTGACCTGGAACACTGGCTGTCAGCTCCTGAGGAGAGGTAGGTTGTCAGGGCTGAGGACAACATGGCTTGATTTATTCCTTAGTGGCAGGGTGTTGGGAGCAATAATTGTCACTAGTCCTTCCATCTCAGCTGTCCTGCTTCAGCATCTGTAGAGACCTTGCACAGGATTTTTGAAGGCAAGGCTTCTGTGACCTAGGACTCATATCTGTAGCTATATGTATATTCTATATACATATATAGAAGCATATGTATGTACCTCTCTCCAACCCAGCCAGTTTTGCAGCAAAGTTAATTTGCACCGTTTTGCATTTCCTGCAGGTTAAAATCAGTGTTTCTGCAGCTTCATACCTTCCACCGCAGTCATTTGAGGGTGTCTGAGTGCCTGGGTCCCTTGGCAATATGGACCTAGTTGCTTTGCGCTTCCATAAAACCCACTGTTGGGTAACCCTTAGTGTGGGCTACCGGGACCGACACCTTCACATGGGCTGGAAACATGGTATCACGCCCCTAACTAAGGTACTATATATGACTCTAGGTAGCTTGTGCACGACAAAAATCCTATTAATTAATACTAAGTTTAATTAACTTAAATTTCCCCAAATTTTTATGACTCTAAAAATTAAAGCATTTAGTACTTTTAGCTGCTTGCTCTACACGGATGGAAGCTTCAGAACCGGTTTTCTCCCCCTTTTTAGCACAAAAGGTGGAGGTTGAGCTCACCACCATTAGGTGGCAGCAGGACATGCAGAAATGGAAATGACAAACTCCCTTGAGGCACATGGATCATCTTAAGAACGATGTAGGATGTAATAAATGTAGACCATGCACAGGGCTTATGATTACTGTGACAGAGAGATGACATACACATATATCCTCTCTATTATAAGAATATATTGGATAGTATTTCAATGTTAAAAAGATATGAACCAACTGAGTGTATTCTGTTATAGTTTAAGCCAAACAAGACACCGTCCTA